TTCTAATGCTTTAACGTTATCTCAAAATGAGGGCTCTGAATTAATAGGCAATGACAAGACATTGTCAACTGTAACATTCTCCACTTCTGAATCATAATAAACTAGACCTTCTACGTGACTACTCTCTACACCAAAATTAGAACTATCTTGATCATCAAGATATCCACCATCTGTTCCATCGGAAATATAACCATCTCCATAATGATAATATTTGCGGTGACCATGAGCGTCTTCGACATATCCATACGAATAGTCCGGATTTGAATCACCATAATCGTCAAATTCTTTTGAATAGCCTAAGTCTATGGTATATGGTGAATTTGCTTGTGTTGGAGACATTGGCGGTGTAAGATATTGTAGTGAAATTTGCTGTATATCATACTGTGGTGCTTTAAATGCTATTTCTGCACTTGAACCAGCACCACGCCGTCTCGCATCAGATGAGCCTTTCTTTTCGCCTTTTCTTCGTTTGCGACCTACATTATACTTTCCGACTTTACTTTTTACTTTTTGCGCCTCTTTTTCAGCATTAGGGTTTCCTTCAACTCCATATTCAATTTGTTGTTTATTAATGAGTGAAAGATACCAAAACATCATGTTAGAAATTAAGACTTGTTCATGCAAAGGACGACGAGGATTTGCTAATTTAATGTGAGAAAGTCGATATATGGCACGTTCTACGTGAATAGGAAAACGATTATAATTTGTGTACTTTGGTTTTTTGTTTGATAGTACAGATATATGAGACGAGGTTGAAGTATTAGATAGTAGTATATTAGAAGTTCCGTGTTCATCAGTGGATTTTCCTCTACTTTGAGAAGACCATGAAAAAATTGATGAGATTATTTTTGATGACTTTTCTTTGGTACCAGACTCATTGATATCACCATCAGCTTTTTGAACTTTTTCAGCTTTCGGTTTTTTGAATTTTGATTCTTTTTCTTTCTCATCTGAATTAGATCCGAAAAGCCAAGATGTCCATGTAGATGTCCGCTTCGATTGTGCTGAAGCAACTGGGCTTGATAACGTTGGTACAGTTTGATCAGATGATATTGGGAGCGTTTTAGGAGATAATTTTGATATTTCATCAGTATTTAATGTTTCATAAGGTGACGACATATGACCTTGTATAGAATCCGGCGAGTTTTGAGGAAGTGAGCTTGTCCGACGAGGTGTAGAACCATCATCTTTTAAAGTAATACGTATAGGCCCAGAACTATCGTTTAGTTCTATAAAATCAAGTACAATATCATTTTCAATTTCTTCAGGTTCAGAAACAATATTTGATGTTACAGTTGACAATGTCTTGTCATTGCCTATTAATTCAGAGCCCTCATTTTGAGATAACGTTAAAGCATTAGAA